AGAAAGCAGAACAACTCCAAGGAGATTTGCTAGATCTGATAAGGCCCTTTTTGAGCAATTCTTTAATTTCTTGTCGACAATGTTTTTCAAGGTCTGAATTCATTTGGATAGGCCTAGCCTTGGTGGGAATGAGATTTTCTGTGAAATCTTTTTCGTAAGGAAGATCTACCTGATGTTGTTTTTGATGCCAAAAAGCATTGGGTGTATCAGCACAAATAGAGCTTTCAATGTGCTCTTTTAAAGAGTTTATTCGTTTTTGCAAAAGAGGTTGAGAAAGCTGTTGTAAGATTCGCTGAAAATGTATCTCATCATGCAAATAAGATATTTGATTAGTTTTACAACGAATTATATGGTGTATATATTTTATAGAAGAACGTCGTAAAACATTTAGGTTTCGAACTTTTGGTTTTTGGAGAAATGAGAATTCAACATTGTTTCCTAACACAACGGTGTTAATTCCTTGGTCGGTGACGGTAAAAGGTTTTAGAAGATTTAGAAAAGGTGTCCCTAAGATCACCTTTTGTTGCATATCACGTACTAGGACAAAAGGAGTTTTGAATTCAACATTTTGATGACAAATTAAAGCATTAGAAAGTTTATATTGTATTTGAAGAGGTTGAGAGTTAGCGGTAGATAGACGCTCGAGGGTCTTTTCATAGTACTTAGTTGGAATTAATCCTTCTTGGATGCAGTTCATGTCTGCTCCTGTATCAAGAAGGGCCACTGTGCTTAAAGTAAAATCAGAAGAAACCTGAATATTAATGATAACATACCATTTTTGGGTAGTAATGGTAGATAAAAAACATAGAAAATCGTCATCAGTTAGCATTTCCTCTGTTTCTAAACTATTGGTTGCGTGAGGAGTTTCATCGAAAAAGTTTTCGGGGCTAGATGTTGATGGCTCTTCTAAAGGTTTGAGAGCTATTAAAGTTTGTAATATTTCATGATCACTATTTTGTAACTGTCGTAATTGTTGAATTTCTTTCTTAACAATATCCAATTCCTTTTGGAAGTCAGGAAGAGAAGGATTGTGGGAATCATTATTACTATGTCGAGAAAGGATATCTTTGACACTATACGTCGAACCTTGATGAAAGGGATTGGTAGGTGGAATAGTCACAGGAGGTTTCTCCATGTGCTCATGAAGCTTTTTGAAATATTTTTCTTTGAGATGAGGATTATCAATATTATTGATTAGATCTAAAATAAGCTCTTGATCTTTGGTTAAAACATTGATAGAAGATTCAGAACTTTCATCGATGTCATCAAATTGTAAAGCCTGAAGATTCTCATCATCATCATCAGAAGAAGAAGAATCCTCATGAGAAGAGTAGTGTTGGAGAAAAAGATTATTGATTTTGTCATGAATCTCTTCATCAAGATTAAGCTCATTGAGCTTCTTTTTTATACGACAATATTTGGAAATATGACCTGTTTTTCCACAACGGAAACAAGTAATGTTTTTATTTTCATTGTTAGATCGTGGTCCCTTATCTGGGCGGGGATTCCTAGAGAAATGAGATTTTTGATTCGTGGTTTTAAAAGATCGGTAGGGACGATCACGATGTTTTTTATGAGGTTTGGTGCTACAATCCTCACAGTTAGATTTGGAAGAAATTTTTGAGTAAGATTCATCAAACTGAGCACAAAAAGATCCTAGTTCTTTTTGAGTTAGTTTTTGTTCGCGTTTGATCTGTTTTTGAAGTTTTAAATCATGGCAAATTTGTAATCCTTCCTTTTGTATAAAGCTAATAAGTTCTCCGTAATTAAGTTGCTCATAAGGAATTTGACCATTAAAAGTGTCTTGGATTTTGTTTCGGATTTTATCTCCTAAGAGACGGGGTAAACCGGCTAAAAACTTTTCTTTCCAAAATGGTTGATTTCCATCTTCTCTTTGCATAACCCTAGTTAAAAAGGTGTCTTTGTACCATCGGAAGTCATGAAACTTTTTACAACGAAGATTAGAAAGTAGTTCGGCATTTTTATCTTTAAGATGTGAAGGATCTCCAATAAAATGTTTTGAAATGGCAAAAATCAGAGATGCGACTGCATCTTGAGAAGATTGATTATTGGAGTCTAAAATAGGAGTTCCAGAAGAATCACATTTGACAGCTGTAAAAATAGTTCTCTGGTCTTCTGCGGTTAAGATATTATCCCACCAACCCTTTAATTGACCAGCAAAGCCGGCTATAAGTAGTTCAGCTATAGCGTAATCAGAAGTTTGATTTTGTGTTTTGTAAGCATTAGCTACCATGGTCATTTGTTGAAGAAGGTTCAAAATTTGATATTCTGAAAATCCATCAAGATTCCATTCGTAAATAGAATCGGAGTTGTATTTATTTTGGATAATGGTGGGTTTCTCTTCGAGAGCTAAATCAGGTGCCGTGGGACGTGGGTAATACATCTTAGATGCAGAGGGTTGGTTCCATCGGAGACGATTGATTCCATCCTTTGCATAACCCTAGTTAAAAAGGTGTCTTTGTACCATCGGAAGTCATGAAACTTTTTACAACGAAGATTAGAAAGTAGTTCGGCATTTTTATCTTTAAGATGTGAAAGATCTCCAATAAAATGTTTTGAAATGGCAAAAATCAGAGATGCGACTGCATCTTGAGAAGATTGATTATTGGAGTCTAAAATAGGAGTTCCAGAAGAATCACATTTGACAGCTGTAAAAATAGTTCTCTGGTCTTCTGCGGTTAAGATATTATCCCACCAACCGTTTAATTGACCAGCAAAGCCGGCTATAAGTAGTTCAGCTATAGCGTAATCAGAAGTTTGATTTTGTGTTTTGTAAGCATTAGCTACCATGGTCATTTGTTGAAGAAGGTTCAAAATTTGATATTCTGAAAATCCATCAAGATTCCATTCGTAAATAGAATTGGAGTTGTATTTATTTTGGATAATGGTGGGTTTCTCTTCGAGAGCTAAATCAGGTGCCGTGGGACGTGGGTAATACATCTTAGATGCAGAGGGTTGGTTCCATCGGAGACGATTGATTTCTGTTTCAGTATGATCTTCTAGGTCTTGAATTACTCCGGCTGAGTCATCGACGATTTGATCCTCGTTGCTCGTAGATTTTGAGTCAGAAATATAAGGAGTCTTAGAAAAGGATAGTTGTGTAGAAAGTTGTTTACGACATTTTTCTATTTTCAATATATACACCATATAATTCGTTGTAAAACTAATCAAATATCTTATTTGCATGATGAGATACATTTTCAGCGAATCTTACAACAGCTTTCTCAACCTCTTTTGCAAAAACGAATAAACTCTTTAAAAGAGCACATTGAAAGCTCTATTTGTGCTAATACACCCAATGCTTTTTGGCATAAAAAACAACATCAGGTAGATCTTCCTTATGAAAAAGATTTCACAGAAAATCTCATTCCCACCAAGGCTAGGCCTATCCAAATGAATTCAGACCTTGAAAAACATTGTCGACAAGAAATTAAAGAATTGCTCAAAAAGGGCCTTATCAGATCTAGCAAATCCCCTTGGAGTCGTTCTGCTTTCTATGTCATTAATAATGCAGAAAAGGAACGTGGCGTTCCTCGTCTTGTTATAAACTACAAACCGTTGAATAAGGCTCTGAAGTGGATTAGGTATCCTATCCCCAACCAAAAGGATCTACTCCAGAAATTTTCACAGTCCCTAATATTTTCTAAATTTGACATGAAATCCGGATTTTGGCAAATCCAAATCAAAGAAACAGACCGCTATAAAACTGCTTTTACCGTTCCCTTTGGCCAATATGAATGGAACGTCATGCCGTTTGGTTTAAAAAATGCTCCCTCAGAATTTCAAAGAATTATGAATCAAATCTACTCTCCTTATTTTGATTTCATAATAGTTTATATTGATGATGTGCTGGTTTTTTCTTCGTCCATTGACCAACATTTCAAACATCTCAATTTATTTCTTGAAGTTACTCGACGTAACGGTCTAGCTGTTTCTAAACCAAAACTTTGTCCTTTTCAAACTAAGATACGTTTTTTGGGTCACTACATTAGTCAAGGAACAATTGTTCCAATCGAAAGATCTCTTCAATTTGCTGATAAATTTCCTGATCAAATTTTAGACAAAAATCAATTACAACGGTTCCTGGGTAGTTTAAACTATGTCCTTGACTTTTATCCCAACATCAATCTTCTGTGTAAACCTCTCCATGATAGATTGAAAAAGAGTCCCCCTCCCTGGAGTGACCAGCATACCAAAATAGTTCAGCAAATTAAGATGCAGGTTCAGAGTCTACCGTGCCTTCACATAAGTGATCCTTCTCTCCCTAAAATCGTCGAAACCGATGCCTCTGACCTAGGATATGGAGGAATCCTTAAGCAGATTCAAAATGATAAGGAGTTGTTGGTACGCTTTACTTCTAGTTAAAAAAGACCAGATTAGTAAACTATATATATATGGTGGCTACTTCGGCGCACTCACTTTTTTGGGTGCACTCAGTGCACTCAACTCAAAAGTTTCCATAATACATCAAATTTTGAATTTCAATTAGTACTCTCAATCTAATATGATGATATGACATAGAATCATAACAAATCAATCTATTACCCTAACCCCTTAATCTTCAATTTTGAATCCCAACCCAAAATCCCAAATTGTAAACCTAAACCCTAACCCTAAATCCCTAAATCCTTCAAATTAAAGTAAATTTTGAATGATTTTTTTTTCAAATTCATGTGCTTCTTGTTCATAATTCATAAGCAACAATTGATACCCTTTTGACATGAATCACATGCTCAGGAAGATAATTATGAGGCGGGTGAACTGAGTGCACCCAAAAAAGTGGGTGCACCGAATATGTCACCATATATATATATATATATATATATATATATATATATGGTAATGGCTGGTATACTCCAAATGATATAGCCGTTAGATATACTTAGTTGAGCTCCGAACAATCTCAACGGTCAATTATTATTTTCTATTAACTTGAACCTCGGATTTGAGTTTAGAGAATCGGGGCTAAATTTTATTTGTCATTAAATCTTAAATTATTATTTGTTTTCATATAATCTAGTTAAACCAATAAATCTCAAATCTCTTGTTTAAAACCAATTTCATCACCTTGATTTTCTCACAAATTTGACTATGAGCACTTTAGCAAAATAGGTACTTTAGGATACACTACTCATTCTTCCTAGCTACTTCAAATTAACCATGCACATGCATCTTCACCCTTACAACACAAAATTATCAGAAACAAAATAAAGTAGACTACTCCATAGGATTCTGAATGCTGCATATCCAAAGGAAATTGCCTGAAGAAAAGTTACTGCAAGAGATCAAATGGTTTCAGAATATTAAATTTAATTTGGACAAGAAACCAGAGAGATTAATGGAGAGTGGTCTATAATAATGAACGGTTCCCCTTCTCCACCCATATTGTCAAAATTTGCAAACCCTGCAAGGCTGCAACGTACAGCTATATGTCCCTGACTCATTCACGAATTAATTAGTTGACCTAACTGCTTCGTACGTGTACAGCTTCTATACATTCACTTCTGAGCTCTGATCCGCATACCATGCTTGAACTGCAAGCATATTTCTCAACCACAGCAAAGCCACTTGTTCTGCAAGACAGAATTATCATCTTATGAGGAAGGGAAGAATTTTAATAATGATTCCAACATTAATAATAACTAGTTTAGATGATGTGTTCATATAAAAGTTTAAACTACCCGTATATATTGGCTTCGTATTTTGGATAAAACTAAGATTTCGCAAGTAAAAACTATTAATTAACAGGATTTTAGGACATGACACTATCTATCGTACACCTAGCATATAATATACACCAGTGTTTACATATATTAGTTGTACTTCGATATACTTCGATATTTCAGAATAGTTGGCTATGATTATTTTGATTAAATAGACCATATGGTTTGGGTTTAGAAATTAGGGTTAATATTTTCGTATGGCCTGAACTTTGACCAAAATAAATATTCTGGCCAATCTTTTTGATCCATAATATCCTGGCCCGAACTATACACCAAAATAAACAATTTGGCCAGATTCGACTTTTGACCGTTAACTTGGACGGTCAAACGCGTTGACCGTTAGTCAACGCGCCATGTCACTGCCAAGTCAGCATAATATATTTAAAATAATTCACAATTTCCACACATTCCCTAATTTTAAATTATTATAAATTAAAAAAAATCATCTAATACCTTAGTTAAACCAAAAATAAAAAAACAAAAAAATTAAATATTTATCAGATCTTCTGACTTGGTAGTGACGTGGCGCGTTGACCGTTAGTCAACACGTTTGACCGTCCAAGTTAACGGTCAAAGATCGGGTTTGGCCAAATTGTTTATTTTGGTGTATAGATCGAAAAGATTGGCCAGGATGTTTATTTTGGTCAAAATTTAGGCCATATGAAAATATTAACCCTAGAAATTATGGACTGATGTTTGTCCAGTAGAGGTTGGAAAATAGTATCGTGTCCCAAATTTTGATTCATCTTGGTTCAAATAGCAAAACTCCATAAGCGTACAGTAAGGTTAGCATGCGCCAGACGTACACTAGCTAGAGCCATATGAGAAAGGCTAGGGTACCCTTGGTGTATAATATGTGCATGCACTCACACCTATTAGATGTGCTTCTTTGGAATCAAAATAGCCGGTTACTATTTTGATTAAATTTTTATCGTGGTTTGTGTTTAAAGAATTATGTAATGAGGTTCACTCAATAGAAGTTAGGGTACTGTATCATGCTCCACACTCTGGATATTGCTAGCGATATATCACTAACTTCTAATGGATAAACCTCATGCCCTCGCTTCTCTAAACCCAAAAATGAAGATCAAATTAATTAAAAAAATTAATGATTGAAGATTTTGATTTGTCAAAATACCAATGAAATTCATCTAACAAGCAGATCACCTAAAGTACGATATACTCCAATAATATAGCATTGGTTTCCACACATATGTGCGTGTGTGTATGGGAAGTTTTCAGTACCTTGGTGAATCTGGTCATACTACATAGCTTTATTAGGAAAATAAAAGCTTGAACTAATCAGATTTGAAGGCATGGTACTGTAACCTAAACCCTATGTCCTAATTTTGTCACCTCTATACTATAGGAGTACAATAACCTTCAATCATGCACCCATGCATAGGTCCTCAAATTTTAAGTGAGTGCATATTATGCACCCAAGTTTTAAAGTAATAATTTCATTATCAAATTTCAAATTTATATTGGGATGATATAACATTGAGCTACAAACCCTAAACCAAAACCGCTAAACCTTAAACCCTTCAAATACAAGTAAATCAAAAATAATTTCCATGCAATATAGTTTCATTAATTTGTTTTTATATTTATAGTTTACTTAGAGATTAAGATTGTTGACATGAATTAATCATTCAAAATAATGATTATAAGACGAGTGCATAATATTACCCGAAAAAGTGAGTGAACTAAAGATAACAACTTACATATATACATGTCATGCTAACTTACTCCTAGATATTCAATACTATGATATTAATAGTGAAGTGGTGAGTTCTAAACCATGAATTAACATGAGTTTAGAGTATGGTACTATGTCCTAATGTATAATGGATAAACTTATTCCCTAACTCCTTAAACACTTACCATAAACTCAATTTGGTCTAAAATAATAATCTAACAATTCTTATTTGACAAAATACGACACAGAAAATCAAATGACCAAATTACCAAAGTTGCCGCATACTCCAGGGGTACGCTAGTCTTTACTATATATATGAAATTTCTATAATACCTTGAAGTAAGGTGAATTATGATCGCATTATGCAATATCTATGTATCATATATGTATCTTAGTTAAGAATTATTAAAAACTATGTTTCATGTACTACAAAGAAATTACGTAGCCTTCTGTAATAACTTTGTTAAACAGTTGCGTTAGAAAGAATTATCATTCTGATATGGAGATTCGAGGTTAAAATTCATTAAGCAACATGTAACAATAAATAAAAAAATTATGTCATCATTGTAAAAAGAATTATTGTTCCGTAAACTCTACGTAATTTATGTGTATCTTGCTTGATAATTGTGAAATTTGTTTATGTAAGCCTTGTGTAATGGATGATATTTTTCTAATGAAGATTAGCATCAAATTACATTAATTGTAGTATTTATGAAAGTCTGACACAACATGTTTGGTTTAACTGTTACTTAATAAATTATATCATTCAATAATCTTTATGTAACGTATTCTATCTTCTATAACAGTTGTAAAATGAAACTGCATAAATCTTACATAGCTAATGCTCTTTTTTATAATCAATATTAACCTCCTATTGTGTAAAGTGTTGAATCATTACAAAATAAAATTATGTAACACGTATAATTTAATGGTTACACAAAAACTTGTTGTCTTCTTTGATATTTGTACTTTATGTAATAGTTGTAAAATAACGTTAATTGAAAAAATCCACGACAGTGTTCATATTTTATACATTTTAATCCATTATATTTCTTTGGAAAAATCAAGTCATCTAACGTGAGAAAAAAAAATCAAATTAGAGTAGGAGGTCCCATATGTATAGTAGAAGGTATACCTTGCGAGAAGATTCGGGAGGTTGATAAGGTTGATTTTTGTTGAATGTAGGAGATTCATTATTGTTAGCATTTTGGGAATTAATTTTGACAGGACCAGCTTTTGTCTTCTTCTCGTTTCTTGCCTTGTTGAATATGACTGTGAAGCCTTCAGCTGAGGCTGGGTTATTCACATCCCACTCCCCGAATTTTGGCAACGGTGCTCCTTCGTCCTTCCCTGCCTCTGATGCCTGTGCTCCTGCTGCCTGCATATTAATTGATCATAAAAATTAGCCCTAAGAATAGAGGTCAGGGAAAAATGAATACCCCAAGATAATTAAGAATAAGAACAAATTAAAGCAAAAGAGAAATGCATGCATGTGCATGGTAATAAAGGTCGGCAGTGGTGGAGCCAGAAATCTGAACGATTGGAGGTTAAAATTTACGTTCAAGATGTTTGAGCCGGAGAGGGGGACTAAAGCCTTACAACCTAATTTATTTTCTAAGCTTGTTACAAAATTTACACGTAGATTTACACGATTTTGAGAGTTGAGGGGGCTATAACCCCTCCTGGCTATAAGGTGGCTCCGCCACTGAAGGCCGGGAACACAAAATTTTGTTGTGATTCGATGTTTGTATTTTCGATCTTCATGAGTCGAAGGTGGCGCAACAATTAATACAAACAAGGAAGGTCAGAAATTTTTATTAGGATCACCTTAGCCATGGGAGAGGAGTGGGCAGGGGGCTGGGGAGGGTTTCTTCTTCCACTTGCAAAGATGAAACAATTAAGGTAGCAGGGATAACGTGCTTCTCAATGAAAAGAGGGATAGAAGAAACATAGAGGTGCTTAGATGGAAGCTCCGACAAAAAAACAAAATACACAAAAATTTCTAAATCTCGACCAATCGCTAAGAGTTTGGAGGGAAAGGGTTATGATCACCAGGCAGGCAGAGATAATTAAGAGAGATTGATCAATAAGATAGAGAAGATTGGACGAGAGAGGGAAATTCAAGGGAATTTTTGTTTTTGTTTTAGAATTAAAGAAAACGATGGAAGCTTCATTAACAAAAATGAGGGAGTGGGTTTTTAGGCAAAGGAATGATCTTGGAGACGGAAAAAATATGCGGAGAGATGTATGATGGATGAAAGAAAGAAGTGAGAACAATAACTTACGATTTTACTGTTTGTTACTAGTAAATAGGTATATCGATAACTGTCTAAACCGACCGGTCACTATATTTATCAAAGAAAAACCTTCAACCATAAACCTGATGTATAAGCGAAAACTCCTTAAATAAAGTTAAAGAATATTTGTTTTTTTTAAGCCCAAGAAACAACCCTACCACCTATTGTAAAAATTCATCTCATTCCAGATTTATTATCACTAGTATTAGATCTAACTAGCATCAGAAAAAACTCCTAACACATTAGGAAAGTTTATATAAAAGTCATAAATCTTAGGTTCTTTCTGGTGAATATAGAACTTTTGCATACAAGAAATGCAATATCTTCTCACGTTCAACCCATTGCATACATCAAACTTCCTATAACACTAGAATATTCAACTTGTGCAGCTGCACTTCCCTCATTCGCTCGAAGTATACAAGAAGCATCATAAGGGTTGTTGGTTTCTATTATGTCCAAATTCTCAAGTTTGTTGAGCACCTTCTCGACATAATATGACTAAGACAAAGCAAAGACCCTACTATGTTTCTTTACTCTGATGCATAAAATAGAATAAGTTTCTTTAAGTTCTTTCATTTGAAAAAGTTAGATACTTTTTAGTGTAAATTATACTCTTCATGTTAGTTCCTATTATTAACATATCATCCACATAAAGTCATATAATGACTACATACTCTTTTGTGCAGTTTGAATAAATGCACTTGTCTGTGAAGTTAGATCATACGAAGACTTAAGCATACACGTCTTTCTTTCATTTCCAAGCAATATGAACCATTCTAGTTGCTCCACATATACTTCTTCATTTAATTCGTCATTTAAATATATCATCTTAACATCCATTTGGTGTACAAATAGATTATAAATATGAGCTAAAGCTAAGAGCACTATTATGGAAATGATTCTTGCAACAGGTACATAAGTGTCAATGTCGCCTACTCAAACCTGTTGCAACAAATCTTGGAAAGTTTGTATTATTAATCCATCAGTGTTATACTTATTCCAAAATACCCATTTATTTCCGATGACTATAAATCCTAAGGCAGAACCACATGACTCCAGGTCTTATAGGTCATAAAGGAATCAATATCGTCATTGGTCTCATTCCAAAAATAAAAATCTCTGAAAGTGATAACACCTAAAATAGGTGTTATTTAGCCTCTATTCTCAAGATTCATCGTGTCTAAGCCACATATCAAGTTATTTATGCCCATATTCGTTCCTATTGGCAAAACATGCATTTTGGAATAGGTATTCACGATATGAAGGTTTTCATCGGGGAATCTCCCCCACTTTATCGTATTTTATGCTTTCCCAAGTGTTTGTGATGAAATTCCAGGTCTTATATGCATTCAGGATTGATCGGAAATCGAATGAAGTTCATCCGAACACGATTGGGAAGCATATGAGCAAGAAGGGGAGAAGATGCACTGCTCACGGCCACACATCACGGTTGTGACCATGTTCGCGGTATGAAGATCGCGGCCGTGAACAGTGGCCGTGAACTGCAGAAGGCGACCAAAAAGAAGGCAGAAAGTTTCCCCGGTGGAATCGTAGGCATGGTATATTTTGACCACAAAGAAAGATCGCGACCGGAGCTTAAAGATGGAATCTAAACGCATCATTTCGGGCGATTTGAGGATGTTCCAGCTTAGAGATGGCTGTAACCACTGCCCATCAGCCTATAAATACTCCATTTCTGCATCTTTCAAAGGAGAGCCGCCTTAGAGTGAGAAAGTTAGCATTTTGGAGTGTTTTAGAAAGATCATATGGTTGGTCAGGAAATATGAACCATAGTTTATAGGTTGTGTGTGAATGGGTTAATGAATGAATGTGTTTATCTAGTTGATTTTCTTATTATTCTAGCTTTTATTGTGTTTGGGTAAGTTGCCTTAATCTTCTCTACTAGCCTACTTTACGCTTCTACGATGGGTTTGGAGATTTAGAGTTAGGCGGGTATGCGCCATCAAGAAAATTGAGGTTAGATGTATGAATAGGAGCCTATAGTGGTCAAGGCGACCGAACCCCTGCTATAGGAAGCCTTCCTAGATAGAACCCAGGATAAAACCTCGGGATGAACTGTGGATAGTGTCCATTGAAATGAGCCATGAGCTTAGTGCCCCATATACGATAGCCTAGATCGAGGTGACTATATATGGGTTAGGGGAGGCGTACTCGGAGGTGTGTGGATAACCACGAAAGCTCACGGAAAAGAGCTCACTCACCAAATTTGACCAACCCTACTTGACAACCGTAACTAGGAGGATTCGACCCTCGGCAACCGTCTCATCTCTAGCGATCTCCCAACCACTTGGTTGATTGTTTATTTTGCATTAGGAGTAGGTTAAATTAGTTCAAACACCTCACTAAACTTCATACCCAATTAGATAGTAGTTCGAAGAGAAGTAATAATAAACTTAAGGATCCCTTGAAATACGACTGAGCCACTTTATCACAATCCTAGCTATGTTATACTTGGCTTAGTTAGGATTGACTAGAGAGTGTGCATTGACTTATAAATTTAAAGCTCGATCGCGCACAAGCATGATTAGGAAGCCATCGTATTTTGATAAGATTTCAGATCATCTTGCACATTGATCAAAATAGGTATCTTTATTGTAACCTTATTTAACTATCTTCCTCTACAATGAAGACTATAACTTGAGGATCAATAAACTCTAAATAGAAACACTTTTCTTTCCTACTTCCTAGTACTTTTTCTTCTTCTCATTTCAACAGTAACATGATAATCTAAAGACCTTTAACTACGAGACAAGTGTCAAAGTTGGGAATAGAGATTGAATCACTTGGAGAATTCATAGATGTAATGACTTGGTCTTACACTTGTATAATCACGTATGAACATATTCTCAAAGAACTCAACATCCCTTAATTTCACGATAACATTAGTTTCTAAATCTAGAACCCGATACACTTTCGAGTTTTCAACATCGAACAAAAAAACTTTCAAAACTCGAGGACCCAACTTAAATCTCTTAGTATCTGAGATTCTAAAGAAAGAAAGACACCCTAAAGCTCTAAGATAGATTAAGTTAGGTTTCCTTCCCTTCCACAACTCGTAGGGAGAACCTTTAGCTTCTTAGACATAATTATATTTTGTACATGCCAGATTGTCAGCAAACCCTCACTCGAAAGGTTGATTAGAGAACTAGCATTAATCAACATAACATTTACCATATTAGAAAGAAATCCATTTTTTGTGTGTCATTCCATTCTAATGTGAGGTGTATGGAGTAGTTATTTGATCTATTAAACCATGTTCCTCACTACATTGACCTCTCTCATTCAAATCATATAATTTCAATATGTAATTCGTGTGATGATCAACACAAGATACATTGAACTCCATCAAATGACAGTCATTTTCTTTTATGGTGAAAGTAGAATATGTATGTATCGTAGTAAGAAACTCTTATGTTGTCATTTATGGACATTTTGTATAGGCAACACTTTATTTGTAAACCTATATGTCGATATTGGTTTCATTTCGTGTCATACACAAAAGATAAAAATGGGGGGGGGGGGGACTTCATGGATACATTCAACTCCATCAAAGGACAATCATTTTTTATGGGGAAAATAGAATATGTATGTATCATACGAAAAGCAACTCTCATGTTGTCATTTATTTGTAAACATATATGTCGATATTGGTTGCATTTTGTTGTTAGTTATTTTGTCTTTCCCATGTTTTCAATACGTTCTAAGCATACTCGGAGTAGTATGAGTATTTGTCTAGATAGTTCATAGCCAAATACCATACAAAACATACTTCATCAGTGTGAATAACACATACAAATCATATAACAATCCAACTTTTCGGCCAATAGGTCGGGCTTTTTGCTAGTTGTACTAATAAAGCCTAATAGCATAACATAATATTTATTTGTTATAGAAAAAGAAAGGGTAAATAAAATATATTAGCCACAACTATTATGAAGCGGGGAATTATTGCCACAACTATAGAAATTCAAATTATTAGCCAAACGTTAACTATCTGTTAACAATTCCATTAGTAATACTCACTAAAATTTTATGTTTTAAAGTTATAAATTAAAAGCAGTTCGACGTGCCTGCTGTCGTGGTCGATGACGTGGCATTCTCCATTAAAAATTCAATAATAGTAACGGACAATTAGCCATATCTTAACCCGCAACAATAGTTATGGCTAATAATTTGAATTTTCATAGTTGTGGCTATAATTCACCGTTTCATAATAGTTGTGGCTATAATTCACCGTTTCATAATAGTTGTGGCTAATATATTATATTTACCCAAAAAGAAATGTAAAAAGGAATAGGGAGAGTTATCATAGTGGGTCAAACGAGTCAGTCATATCCATAAACCCTGGACCCGAACTTCATACAAGTTCAAAACAACTTATTAAACCTCTTTGCATTTTGGTGGCTCCTTCTATTAAAAGAAAACCGTTTTAACCCTCGTTACGCTCTACGGGTCTTATGGACCTAGCATTGTTTTTTTATAAGAATGAGCCTGGGTTTATGCATTTTATCAAACATAGCGCTCTATTATTTTTTGCATGAAATATACTTTTCTACTTCAAAAAAATTATCAAACATATACTTTTGTTAAGATTTCCATCGAAAAATTGATAGACCATTAATTACACATGTTTTTACCCCTATTCTTGAGCCGTTTGAGACGTTGATTCTCTTGTTTTAAGCCGATTTCACGCTAGGTTGTGCGTTTATGTCATATTTCAGGGCTTAGCGTTGGCATCGAGGCGAAGGAACGAGTTTCGGGTCGAAAGAAGCATGTGAGGTTTGAAGTGTACTGGAGAGCAAAAATACCCGACCATGAGCCAAAATACCCGACTGGGTATTATTTGGCCATGACCGGGGATTTGACGCTTCGTGCGTCTTTGAGAAGCAGAAGGGGCCCGGGCAGGAAGCAGAAATCCCGGGTCGGGGATTCTTGGCCATGACCGGGGATTTTCCCTTGTTACCCAACGGTGCGTTTTGCACATACCCTGTCGCCACCCAAAATACCCGACCGGGTATTTAGGCCGGGGATCGTGACAGACAGCTTCTTAAGGGAAAAGAAGGCCAAAAGTGAAGGGTTCCGAGTTTGAGAGAGACAGAGCGATTCCTAGAGAGGGAGAGCGATGAACCAGAGTTCCCAAGTGCCCTAGCTTGATCTTCATCACCATTGGAGCTCGGATCACACTTGGAGAAGTGACGAT